AGGCCGATCGTCTCTATGACTATAATTGCCCCCTCACAGTGGTGGAACTCACACTTGCTCTTCACTGATCTGGCAGTACATGGGTCAGACCTGATGATGTTCATTATGAGATGCTGTGCCATCTTTCTCCTGCCTCTCTTGCTATTCTTCTGGTTGTTTTTAACCAGATCTGGAAGGAAAACGTTTTTCCTGATGTTTTCTGCCACCAGCGGGGTCTACACCCCGATCCCAAACTCTGTCTCAGTGATGATGTTCTTCCTGTGGTTCCTGAGACACAGTTTTTGGCTTATCTTTGACTGTAAGCTTACTTTCATTCCTCACATAAAGCACCTACATGGGCACTAAACATCCTCTGTGTCCTCTCTTCCACCTCTTTGAGAGCAGATCAGTGTTCTATGCTCAAGATCTATCGTGCCCTCAGTTGATCCAAACTGGACTATGGATATCTGGTCTTTGGTTTTACCAGGATCTCACCCTTGAAGATGCTGGACCCCATTCACCATATGAGCCTTTAGCTCTGCACTGGAACTTTCCACACTACTCCAGTCAAAAATTTGTACATCAAGTCCCACGAACTTCCTCTTTACCTCTGTCATTTCCAACTTTCTCTACAGTATGCTACCAAGCTTCAATCCTTACCACAGCATCCCACCTGGGGTTGTGTCTTTCTTCCTCGGTGTGCTCTTTCAGAATAGACGGTCTGCAATTCCTTCTTCTGGCCTTTGTATCCAGGTGCAACTGGATGAATTGGGTCTGGCATTGGATGATGTTCCTGTCCCCAATGATAAGCCCATTCCACCATGGCTTATTACCATCCCAAGATGTGACCTTTCCTTGAGTCATCTGAGGAAGGTGGATACTTCCGATTAGAAGTATCAACTTCTCTTTATTGAACATCTTTTGAACCATTCTTCTATTCCATTTACATGTATGATTCAAAATCAGGTAACTCTGTAGACTCTGCCATGGTTTGCTGTGGCTCGGTGTTGCTCGCAGAATCCCCTTCTACAGTTTTAGTGTTCACCGTCGAGTTGTATGCCATTTTTCTTGCCCTGGATCATGTAGAAGATATGCAGCACACTGATTGTACTACTTATACTGACTCTTTTAGCTCTCTAGTGGCCCTGGAATTGCTTAACGTTAGTTTCACCCTCTTATTCAACAATGGCTGGTACATTTTTCTCTATCTTCCACTAGTATTCAGTTTTCTGGAAACCTGGCCATGTTGGTATTCGTGGGAATGAGCTCGCTGACACTGCAGCTAAGTCCATATGCTCTGGTGCTGTCACAGCCATGCCTATCCCATTTATGGACTATGATCCTGTATTGAAGGCTCGGCTTGGTGTGAGTAACATGATAACAAGCTTTTCCAGATCAAACCTTCTGTTGTTCTTTGGCTGTCGTGTTTCCATAAGGCAACTGTCAGTGTTTGGGAGTCTTCCTACCCTATTGGAGTCCAAACTGGTACTTTCTCATTAATTTTCCTCCTTCTTTATCAACATTCCCAACCCTGTTGTGGCCTATTCCTGTGTTATTAACTCCTTCCTCCTCTTTCCCAGTGCCTTTTTTCCAGGTTTTCAAGGCAAGCTACGTTTACTATATGCATTCACTGTAGATATTTGTGTGCTTCATATGTGAATAGGACTCTTACATTCCCTTCCTTCACTCCTCCCAGACCTTTTTCTTACCTCCTCTTTGGAATACCTTTTTTTTCTCACCAGTGTTTATCAGAATTGGTAAGGGTTCTTTTCAATTCGCACTCTATCTTACTGGTCAATTATATTTGTCTAGGATTCTCTTCCTGGTCATTTTTAATTCGTTATTACAACACAGTTGATGTTCTGTAATTATTCTCCAACCTGGACCTTATCATTGATCTTCCTCAATCTGCAATGGAGTTTTTTTTTTTCACCCTTTGGTGTATTTTTATTCCAGGTGTTTGTTTGACCAAGGTGAACATCTCAGATGCTTCTCTTCACATATTTATTTTCCCCTGCATCCCAGCATTGCCTTCATTCTGGTTTTTGGGGGTTCAGGTCCTTTTCATTCCACACTTTACCATTGGGTCTGGTGATCATGACCTTTTCCCATCTTCTATGTTTCCACAGTCTGCAGTTTTCTTTATCACATGGATGACTGGCTACCTTTTGTCTCCATCTCTTCAGGCATCTCACACTCACATGCTTTTCTTTTGGGAAAGCTACAGGTATGGGTTAGCTTGTTTTGTTGGAGAAGTCCTTTCTTGTCCTGACCCAGTATCTCATCCTTTATGGGGTTTTCTTCAATTTCTTCCTTAGTCAGGCCCAGCCTTCTCCACTTCAGTTGTGTTTGATGTAGCTAATGGTTATCAGTGCTGAATCCTCTCCTTTATTTGCTGCTAATGAGGTTCTGTTGTTTTTTAGGACTTAGGATTCTGTGGAATTCCTTCTTCCCATGGGTTATACTCCCTTACATAACCTTCAGTGACTATTGAATGATCCATGAAACTACAAGTATGCCTACCTGCCTATTTATCTCCTTCCCCAGGTTTTGTTTGTCATCCAAGCCACTCTGTGTTGAGCCTCTCTCATTGCCCCATTATGACCTGCACAACTTTTGTTTCCTATTATTCCACTGCTTCAGTCATCTCCTCCAACGACTCTTCTTCTGTCCAGGCCCCTTCTCTTCCAGTATTATTTATTGGTATTTTATCTTGCCTTACCTGCTCTCCAGCTTCATGCCTGACTCTAATCTGGTCCATTGTGGGGTAATCTGAACTCTCTGCACATATGGTGTCCCTTATCTCCTATTTGGTCTGCCTTTCTTTCTTGGTGGTCTGTAAAAGACAAAGGCATATTCTGCCATTTGTCTGAGCACCATGGTTACTTGCCTTTAAGTCCTTGCATTCCTCACCATTCCATATTTCACTTGGCAGTTTGACAGTGATCTGTTTGTGTAGTCCTTTGCAGATTATGGGGCAGCCTTATCCTCTACCTCCCTTTTCTTTCTTTACTGCCATATTTATTCCTCTCATGTCATATCCCTCTTGTTTTTGTCCTTTTTGTCTCCTCCATTCCTTCTTGCCCTCTGCTCCATCAAGAATTGGATTTCAATGTCATTCTTTTTGCTCTTACCCAGCCTCCTTTTGAATTATTGACTACCTGTTCCTTATCCCACCTACTTTGTTCCTTATTGCTGGTGGTCTTCGTACGTCAGATGTGTTCTCAACATATCATGTATCCATTACCATTCCTTTCCAAAATTTTAGTGGCTCATGAGGGAATCGTTACTTTCCTGCTGGTATTCCTCCTTTCTATTTCTCCTTTGTATTCCTTTTACAATCCAGATAGTCTCCTCTGTTTGATTCGTGCTCTATGATATTAATTTGCATACATGTCTTCCTTCTTCTGTTCCAGTTTCCACGTCCTTTTCTATTGTTACATTCTACCTTCTAACCATCACCAGGATGGCTGATGTTGGCTATGTAGTGCATTTGCATGCATTTGCTGTCCTGGGTTTTCAGAAAGGAAGTTCTTTTTCTCTTCTGATTCCTGGGTCTGAGATGAAGATGATAGGGACCCTCCTTCTACCCTGGTCTGGGTGATTCATTCCCATTCCAGCCTGGATTTGGACTGGAATTGACCCAGTGATTACAGTCTGCTGTTCTTTAGCCACTCTGTACTATTGGGTGCATCCAAGTTTCTTTTGGATGTGCTTCTTTTTCCACCTATTTTATGATGGGCAAGGAGTATACTTGGTACAGAGATAGTCTCCCATGGTGTGTTCCTCTACACACAGATGTCACACTCCATGGGTTTTCTTCAGACATTTTTTGAAGGGTACTCATTTAGGTAACTTTGTACCTGTCCTTTTATCACTTTAATGTAGGATTCTAAGTGTTATATGAGAGGAGGTAAGTTCTTATATCAGAAGTTAGCATTTTCCTACACTGAACATGTATTTCTAATAGATACTTATCCACTCACGCTTCTCATCTGTCCTCCCCACATCTGGTGCTTCCATTTGGCCTAATCTCAAAGTGAACATTGGGTTCTACAGTATAGAGGGAGTCAGCTGTGCTGAGAGGGTGTGTTCCACTTCTATTGGTGGAGTGATGTTGCATGCTCACTTGCATGTAACATGTGGATGTAGGTGGGAGCACAAGGCTAATGGTGAGCAAACATTTGGACATATAGAGGGCAGTAGGTGTCAAGAAACTGCTTAACCACCAGTTCACAGTGTCAATAAAATTGACTGACCCCGTATATCTGAAGCTATGTTTACTATAGTTCTAAATTTATTATGTGTGTCTTCATAAAACTTAGCAGGCTTTTAATAAACATTACAAGTCTGTTGCACACAAAAAACCAAATTTTATAATAAAGTATCTTTAGTAAATATTTGTCTATGAATCACCATAGCCTTTTATTCAGTCAGTCTTAGTAAAATAAAATTTTTATTCTAATAGTATGTAAATGGTTGGCCTTTATTATCTTTTTCTTTTCTATTCATAATGTTTCACCAAGTACAGTCTTGGTTAGTCACACTTTCTAACATTTTGTTTTATTTTAATCCTAGATGTCAGACTGTTGCTTTATTTGTCTCTATACTGGAAAAAATATCAGTTTCAGTTTTCAAGTGACAATTAGGCTTCTTTTTTTATTTTTCTGAATATTATTACCTTTAAAATTTTGTTTGTGTATTTTGTGTTTAAAAATTGAGTTCAGACTTTATATTATACTAATAATAAGAATGTGTGAACTTCATTTAAACTATACAAAATAATATTATATTCTTTCATATTTCAAAACGAAAAATGTAATGTTTGTTTGTCAATAATTAATAGATTTGTCAACTTTTTTAATGATTTTTCAAAGCCTTCATATTTTAATGTTTTTATTTATACAAAATTCATATGTCTTGTATTTAGCCTGCATTACTTGTAACTTTAAATTTACTGAAAATATGCATACAAATTCTTAGTATGGCCATTATCATTTGTACGCTTTCATTCTTTTCAGGTTTCTGGTTGTCGCATCCTTGATGCAGTTTATAAATATACCTCCTCTGGCATTCCTCTGGTGAAAGAAGCTGCTTCAAAGTAATAAGTTTTACACTCTAATTTATCTAAAAATAAAGGTGTTAGAAGCTGCTTAGCCATCTGTTCATAGGCTCAATCAAATTGACTGACTCCATATCTGTGAATAATTCTAAATTTACTATGTATGTCTTCACAAAAATTTAGCAGGCTTTTAATAAGCAGTACAAGTCTGTTGTACACAAAAAATAAGATTTTATAATAAAATTAAAAGTACTTCTTTTCACCTTACAGTTTCCTTGTTTCATTTGCATATAACCTGTTGAACCTCCTAAATGAATACCAGAAGTTTTCAGTAAAACTATATTTTATATACCGTAACATTAACTGTAGTAAATTCATCAATTTACTATGAACTGAAAAGTTGAAAAGTATGGAGTAAAATTAATAATTCAGTTTTTTACACTGCACTGACTGCACTATTGATCAGAAAGTTCCAAATTGCGTAACAGTTTGAACTGCTCACCTGATTCTTTTTAATTTAATGGTTTTATTGCTGTACTTTGCGGCCACTGGAGCAAATATCCTTCCATCAAAAGCAATATAAAGCGCAGGTGATTTTGAGGTGTTATGTTACACAAAAGCTCATGTTTGTGGAACTTGAGATATTTTATTTTACTGAAGTTTTGTTAGGCTAAGCTGAAATGTTTTTAATTTTTACATTTCAGTATTTTTATAGAAAATATATACATAAAAATAGGGATTTGCAGTGTTTGCTGCATACTTGAGCTTGTTTGCACTTAAGCAAAAATTTAAGACGTTCTACTGTAAGCCTTGTTGAGTCTCACAATCTTGGATGTCCAAAAATGAATTCATAAAGCTTTCAAGTATGCCTTTTATAATACAAAAAATATATCAGTCAATAGAATGTAATTTACCTAGCTTTCTAAGTAAGCTATAAATATGTAAAAATATTATTTTAGTGTTTGGAGCAAAAAAATATCACTAGAACCACTGACTAATAGTTTGTGGCAGGAAAACTAAACAATTTGTGTGATTTTTGTAAAGGAGAATCTGCTTTTTCTGTTGGTTATAAACATGTTCATCAGCCATACAAGGTTGATTAGCAAACAATTTCAAAAGTCAGAGAGGGTCTTCTCTGGTAGGTTTGACAAATTTGTTGATATCTCAGCAAACCGAAAAGGTTGCAGGTTTAAATTTTAGATTCTTGCTTGTAATTCTGTATAGTTTATGTTTCTACTTGGTTGAAAATGTAGCAGCTAATTTTTATTGTTAAAAAGTTCTGAAGTGGAGAAATTGGAGCTCAGACATGCATTGTGACACAAGAAATAAAGATTGAGAATTTGTTTAAACATTTCTTTTTTGAAATTAAGAAATTAAAACTTAGATAATGCACAAATTTATATTATAAACTAAATTTTCTTGTTAAGTTTATTGATATATGATGATAATAATAAAGAGTTATTTAAATATATTTTGAGTGTAACACTGAAACAAATGTGACATGGACAAAAGAGCCAGAGTTGAATAAGGATAAAAAATTTAGGTTACTGTAGTGTTTTTATGGGTTTTTTATTCATAATGTTAATAAAATTAACAAATCCTCAATAGTTAGTGTTCTTGTAATGTAACAGAAGTATAGAATATATGTGTGGTTAATATTACTATAAATATTTCAACTAGTTTTAACATTTGTGAAATGTAAAATTTTCAATATTATATACTAAAGTAACTAAACTGCTAGAATCCATTTGAAACAAAGGTAATTTAATCTACATATTCTTACAGAATCTTGAAAAGTTGCCACCATATTTTGTACAAACAGCTGACTGCTTGGATGTTACATGGAATTCTGTTGGATCCATCCAAAGAATTTTTTATCCAGAAGAGAGAGACTGTAGAACCAGAGATTAGTAAAGAGTTAACTGTAAGTAAAATTTTGCAAATTCCTCTTTTTTTTTTTTTGCACTTTTACATTTTTTAGTGATTGATTATTGTGATTTCTACTCTTGTTAAACTAACATCTTTTGTTTTTTGAAATCCTTACACATTCAAAGCATTAAATAATACAGTATTAAACATCAGTAGTTCTCCCTGATGTTTAATACTGTATTATTTATAACCAATAGAAATCCAAATGCTAGAGAAAACTACTGGAAATTTATAAAAGAGATGATGTGACAGGTTGGTGTAGAAAGTGGTTCTGATTTTGTAGTTTTTGACGCCATTAGTAAATAAGACTAAAGGCTATACAAATTTTGCTTTGCCTGAGTAGTAACTATATCATAATGAATAATTTATGTTAAATTCCATACTTCTGAGAAGGGTGGTAAATAAATTAGAGAAGAGGGGAGACCAAGAGAGCAAATGTCACATTTCTCATACTAGGGGAGATTGAGAATTGTTTTAATATTTCCTTATAATAAGAACTCAAATTTTATGTAATATTAAAATTTGATTTATTATCTAAGTTTTGATGCCAAATTTATTCATATACAGTGATAATAAAAGTAGTTTAATTACATTTTGGATGTAACTCTGTATAGGTTGTGACATATGCATTTTGACCTACACGTTGTGAAAGGGTTAAAAGGGCTACTTTCAAAGCCTTCTGAGTTATATATAGGTGGAAAATTTTATCATAATTTCAAATTACTTTATAGTACATTGTTTATTCTAAAGAGAATTGTCTATTTTGCTTCCAATTCAAACTTTATTCACATAAATATATGTATGTATGTTCTCGAGTAGCTTGTGCAATGAGTTTGGCTGTATTTTTAATGGGTCTCATCACATAGCTAGAAATCCAGAAACATTATTATAGTTATAGGATATTATCTGCTTTTTACATGTTATTATTCTGTGTTCTTAGGTGCATTATTTAATTAAATAAAAAATATTTAGTGTAGTAGTGCCATTAGTGTAACAACAGTCAACAGCAAAAAATAAAAAGACCCAGATAAGTACTAGATTTCTTGTTTTTCATGTGTATTCATTATTTAATATTATAAAATTAACTAAAATGTAAAAATTTTATACTTATTAGGTTAAGTTAAATAAGGTAATGAAAATAATAACAAGAATAAAAACTCTTCAGGAGGTATGTTCTCGAGTAGCTTGTGCAATACATAATTCACTATGGTAATGAACGGCAAGTTCAATGAGTGATTTACAACTTGTGTAGTGGGACTATTAGTTAGACATAGTTTTAAGGGCAATAAAACAATATAATTAAATGTATATTGTTAAAAGTTTTAAGCTACTTAGGATAAGCAGTTGTGGTATTCTGTTACAGTTTACAATTATTCCAGAAAGAAAAAAAAAGGATGATTTAGATTTATTTCCATTTTTTTTAATGGTGGTTAAGAAGTCAGTCAAATTGAAAGACCATGTATAGAGTTATAGTATAAAATATTCCAGATAAAATATAAATTTTTTACAAAAAAAGTTCCTTACTTATTTAGGAGGTTTTAGGGATTATGCAAATAAAATTTGAAAATTTTCAGATTAAGAAAAGTATTTTTAATCTTAACATGAAAATAATTTTGCATTCAGAGTAGTTAACACTCTGACTCCACATAATTACAGACAAATTCTGATTTTTTGTCTACAAAAGACTTAATTTTTACTGAAGGCTTACCAAATTTCAAGAAGATATATTAAGTACTTTCAGAGTTACAATATATATACCACCATGATTATGTGGTGGTTACAAAGTCCTGTAAAATACTGAAACATATTGCAACAGATTTAAAGCAATATGAATGTCTGATAAAACATTCAACCTAGAGCTTGAAAGGCTTTGAAAGTAACCCTATTGCAATATCTTAAATATCTGACAACATGTCCTATCATCTGTTTGGAAGGTTTTCTAAGTAACTCTAATACAAAAATCTGAATGTATGATGACACATATTACCATGATCTCAGAAGGTTTCAGAAGTACCCATATTACAATAAATCTAATAGGTTACAATGTATCCTAACTTGAGTTCAAAAGGTCTTTAGAAGTAACACTTATGTAGGATATTTAATGTGTATCTAACACACTTGTTTCAAAATAATGTCTTAAAACAAGTCAAACGTATATATAAATGTTCTTTACATAATTAGACACCAAGCTCGTAACAAGAGCTTTGAAAAATTGTCTCTTTGCATCCAAAGTCCGCACAGGTTTTTCAATTACTTTAGAACATAAATGACTAAATTTCACTTAAAAATAATGCCACTATATGCACTATACAGCTAAACTCACAATCACATACAATCTAGATCTATCTATCTATCTCAGTAACTTTGTTTTAACTTCTTGAACTATATTTTGTATGCATAGTTATAAATAGCCCAATGGTGGCCTAGAACTTTCTACAAACTACAAGATATTTAGATGTACTAACACTTGAAAAAAACTTAGAAGGTTTTAGTAACATGATGCAATAATACAAAAATTGTCAATTTGCAATTTAACTACACAGCTATGTAAACAAACCTGTGATAAACTGTCACTTCTAAATTTAACACTCAAATTATACTTAAATTAAAAGAGTTGTATATATCTAACAAAGGATCTCGGAAGGTCTTAGAAGTTATCCTCTTGCAGCAATTTGAAATCCTTACAACACATCCTACCTAGAGATCAGAAAACATAAGAAATAACCCATTTTCAGTAATTTGAAGTCATCACAACACCTATTTTTCAGAGCTCATAAGGTTTCAGAAGTAACCCTGTATTTTCAAAAACTTAGTTTGGGTGTGTGGTTTGGCCCTTTCTGAAGCTCCAAAGATTTTGTAAATAACTCTGTTGCAGTAATTTGAATCTTGAAATTTGAATTTGCAGTAATCTTACCTAGAGATTTGAAGGTTTTGGAAGTATCCCTAATGCAATAATATGAATATATAACAACACATCATTCCTATTTGACTGCATGCTGTTTTGTGCCTTTTTTATTAATTTCATCTTAATTGGTTCATTACAGACTTCAAATTAGAATTGTATTAAAATGTTATTTCAGATCTATAAAACAAAATAGTATACTACAATAAAATTTGATTTTCGTCATATTTTTTGAGACCTAAGATATCCCCTCTCTTTGTACATTAAGTTTCTTTTACTGCATACAAATAGCATTTCAAGTAGACTTTTGATTTCCTCTATTATCTAGCCCAGTTGGTTAGTTTTGTATTGGATGGAAGTTCTTTGATAATGACTTTTGGCAGATGAAAGGTAGATTTGCAATTCTGTTCTTACACATTGCTGAGTTAAAATTGATAGTGGACAAAGAAAAAGGAATTTGATCATAAGAAGCATCTGCATTCAAATTTAATATCACATTTCTTAGGCTTAATAATATTGAAAAAATGTAATACCATAATTCTTACAACTATTAATAATAAGTAATTTCTTGAAATATTAAGTCAAAATTAATTTAATATATCTAAATTTCCTTAGTTTGTTTGCCAACATGCCTGTATAACTTATACTAAAAGACATCTAGTAGCCCACAAATTATGGGAAATTTGTCCAATATTATTGAACACCTACCTGTTGGAAGATTGATGTAATATCCCTTTTCATAAAATACAGTTCTTTTTTGTATTTATTTCAGATTAAACTTACCTGTAATTATACAAAAATGTATGTTTAGATTAGTCTAGGAAACCTTAAGGATGATTTAAATACAAACTTATTTGTTTTGATTTATCTTTTGCTACTTTTACTGTATTATGGGGGTAAATTATATTAAAAGAGGCTGTAAATATGATTTTGCTCTCAGTTGTTTGTAATCTATTTCCTCTTTTCAAAAGATTAATCACATGTTCTTACGATTTTGGAGCTTGATTATTAATAATTTCTGAGTGAAAGTCTAGAAGTTTGTATAATAATATGTCAACTACATTATATCTGCTATATCCAGTGATGATGAGACTTTTTCCCCAATACCAGAGCTCTTCTGGTTGGCTATGACACAACATACATAGTAGTGGTTGAGATGCTATTTATATTATCAAATTGTAAGACAACATCTATTATGATGTGAAGTGGATTAAGTGGTGAAATGTAATTTTTGATCAACTTTATCCTGGAATATACTACTCAGAAGAGCTTTATAAATTATATTCTCCACTAGCTGTATTCCACAGTTAGAGACATAAAAAATGTTTTTTAATAATATAGAATTAACTGGGCTGATAAAAGCTGATACAACTCTTAGCCTGTGATGTTTTGGGAGCATTATTCAATCTCAGCAAATGTTTTTAATAATAGAACTGCTTTAAATATCAATAAGTACTGAACACGAGAAAAACTGAAATAAATTCGTTTTATCATTCATTGTATTACATGTGCAGTATGTAACATATGTATTCTTAAGTATATGCATGATTCTTAGAAAACACATTGAAGAAAAAGTAGATTGATTACAATACAGAATTCTCTTGAGTATTTTAAGAAGTGTATAGGACAGGGGTAGCCAACCTATTTCGTGCCACGGGCCAGATTTTGATTACCGTAGTTAACCTGGGCCACATTCAACTTTAAAATACAGTGCGGGTAAAAAAAAGTGGCCACCCTGACATCCTGAGCTTAGTATTTTTCAAAGCTCTGATACAGCTCTCATTTGGCTGTGGTTACAAAGAATTTTATATCAATAGATAGAAAACTTTCTTGGCTTTTATATGATGTACTTTACTTTTGATATTGTGCCATTAGGTGTTCTCTAGAGACCAAAAACAAAAATGTCATCATTTTTTGTCAGTCGAGTTATCTCTGGTGGAAAAGACGTTTGGATAATAATTTTAACATCAGTGAATAGAGAATGAAGGGACATTTCATTTGACACTTTGATCAGCAAAATCAGTCCACATTCGGTCAAGGAATCTTATGTTCACCCAATTCTGTCAGATTATCGAGATAGACTCATTTACGATGAGTTTGTTGCTCTCAGTTTGAATTTTAATCGTTCCTCCAGTCAGACCGCTGTTGCTAAGGGCGACAATGAAAGAATGGCTCAAATTGCCTCAGCCGAAGCCCGATGGAATGAAAAAGTGAGTTATCACCTCCTCGCTACTCGCGCTAACACAAAGGTGACATCAAGTGAAATTATCAAATGATGACGCACAAATCCCTCGCGCAAATTAAAAATCATGAAAAGGCCGCAGGGGCTGTCTAAGTATCATGCATGCGCCATAATACAGTGAATTTTATAAATGTTAGGCGGGCCGCAGAAAAAGACCGGGGTTTGGCCACCCCTGGTATAGGACATGCTACATCTTACACTTGTTTACTTACATATTTTACTTAAAATCAGCTTTTGATTAGCATTCTGATAAAATAATTTCATTAAAATTACTTAATTTAAATTTATTGGTAGTAGTAAATATGAAGGTGTGCACATTTAAGCATTTTTTATAAATGTTTTGTAAGTTAAGTTGATTTTTTGAGAACAGGTGTCAAGTGAGAGACGGTCCCTTGATGTATATTTCCTTAATCCTGACCTCTTGCCATCTTACATTTTAAGTCGAGTTGCAGAGAAGATTCTGTTTGCAGGCCATTCAGTATGTTGCTTTGGAAAGGATCAGACTGGTAGCTCTACATATTTAGGTAAGTTTAGTATGTAGAAAATTGGTGGCTATAAAGAAATGTAAAAACACAAGAAAAGACCAAGGGTGATTATTGTGCATGCACACAACAGTGTGAAATATACAGAACTGTTGATTATAGTGTAAAGAAATATTCAAATGCCCTATAAATGTCATTTATTATGTACAAAAGCTTTCTTCAATAGTTTAACTGTTATGGTAAGGCTAACTTTCATCATCTCAGGGTGTCACTTTCAAGACTAGGAATGTGAGTCCTTGAAAATTGGTGTTTGCAAGTTGGTTTGCTATAAAAATTCTTCTGTTAAGTAGATCTATATCCATAAGAAAACTGTTGTTGAACTTTCAAATCATTCATATAAAAGAGAAATATGCATTATTCAGACCTATGCACAAGACACATTGTTGTCTCGTTTATAAGGTATCGGTATCCAAGATATTGAACAGAAACTATAAAATCGTGTGTCAAAAGTCATTAATGTTTTTACCTTTTATATGATGTCATATTTAATTATGACATCATATGTAATTGAAGGTTAAAAAATGTTTTCTTTAAAACCAAGATTTATCACTGCAACTCAAAATCAGCAAACCTTTTAAACATTATTTGTGTAGTACTTTCATTCTATCACTATTATCAGAATCCATCTTTTCCACATTAAGAGGTTTTGTTCTCTTGCATTTTCTTGTTTCTACAAAGTAAACACAGTCAAGTACAGAAAGAATGGAAGCCTTGACTCAAAGACAAACTTCTGGTGCACAAAGATTTTGTGGTGAGAGGTGCTATTCCACTTTGTTGTATTAATGTATATTTTTGTTGAGTCACAAAGAGTACTACCAACCTCTATATCTCTATAAAACTTCAGGTTATCCAGTAGAAATTGTTTAAAAACATCCACTTTGACATATATTTGTTGAAAGAATTACCACACCACTCTGTTTGTTCACCAACTGATCCTGCTGTGGTCATAACGTATCTTTGTGCGTGTTGATAAAATATTACATGATTAAACATATCGAGTAGTGTTACTAGCTTCTGGTCTGCTTTAAAACATAGAATGCCAATCCAACTTGCTTAGACATTAGCATACATATATTCTCTCATACAATGTTTAGAAACGTTTTTCCCTTTAAAATCTACTATCTTATCCCTTCCATTTGATCCATTTTTATATTTGTTTCGGGAAAAAACTATGTCAAGTGATTCAGTAGCTCTGTGGGAATTTTTGTAAATATTGTGGCTTCATCATAGATTTTAGTCCTTTTAAGTCCATTGCTTGAATGAGTTTCAGTGCATTCTTGTTTTGTTTTTTGCATATTCACCCTGTGATTGCACTACAGTTTTGAGCCCTTTTGCTGTACAAGTGAGTCATGATTCCAGTTGTGCTTGGCTATTTCAATTTCATCATTGGTACACTCATCTGATAAGTTCTAGTTTATACTCATTTATCTACTCTCTTTTTCAGTTCTTTTGCTATCTACATATTTCAGTGATCATTATTTTGCAAGATAAAACAAAAAGATGATTACTATAATTCTGAATTTACTAAATCTATCTTGACAAAAATTGGCAAGCTTTTAATAAACATAATAAGTATGTTGAATACAAAAAATCAGATATTTTAGTAGTATTTCTTCTAAAGATTTGTTTGTGAATTTATTACACCTTTACTGAGTCAGTCTGAGTGAAAAGTTATTTTCATGATAAGAATTAAAATACTTCTTTTCACCTTATAGTTCTCGTGTTTCATTTAAATAACATCTAGAACCTCTTAAATGATAAACAAAAAGTTTTTCAGTTTATGTTTTATCTGTTATTTTCTACCCTAACTAACTGTAGTGAAATAGTCAATGTACAGAGGGAAAAAAAAAATTCAAATATGAAAATATAAACCCATAATACCTTTTTTCTAGAATGACTGCAGATTGTAACAGACAATTATAATTATTTATTGTAACAGCCTCAGTTATCTAAATTTTTCACATCTGCTTTTAATTTTATTACTTTACAATGTCTTTTAAACACTGTCTAAGTACATGACAGGCAATTAATCCCACTGTGAGAACTTAGTGTACACAGTTGATAAAAGCTACAATCATGTGATGCAGTTAGCTTGAGCTGGTCTTCCGAATTGTTTTTTCACTTACTGTTGGTTATCTAACCTAGCAATTCCAATATGGTACATTACCTCTTCTCACATAAATAGCTATTCTCGTTCAGTGCTGCCTTCTATATGCAAAACATTTTTTCACATGCCACATACCTTACAATCAACTGGTTCAACTGTGTCTCAGATGTAAATCATCATGCTACACACTCTCCTGAAGCATGTGACTACTCTATTCACTTCTCGTTTCGCAGTACTTGTGATTTTTTTTGTTATTCTTCCAAAGTGGATTTTTTCTTTCTTTGTTTTTCAACAGTTAAGGACATTTCAGATAACTTATTTTCCCAGTTTTCTTTTTTTTTCCTCGTCAAATGATTGTGTTTGATTTTTCATTGTTACATAATAAATTCCAAAGTTCAGGTTACCACTTCTGAGATAATACCTTCTACTAGCTCACTCACACAGGCTACAAGTGGGGGTGACTCGTCTTTGGGCTTATTGGCTCTCATCCTACTTGAGATTGATCTTCATATGAGTCAACCTGCTTCTCTTGATCTTGCCCCTTTTCCTCCTGAACGTGCTGAACCTGTTCATGTCAACAAGGATTTTGACAGCCTTTTTCCTCCATCTGATTTTGCCGTGTCTTTCTATGCCCTACTGTGGAATCAGCTAGAAGTAATACATCTTTTTTAGACATGATTTCTCAGGAATGTTCTGCTTCATCCATTTCCCCGATTTTGTATGATCCCTGTCCTTCATTGTTACATGATGCCTCCTCCTCTCAGTATTTGGATTTCCTCCCTTGCCTGCATATTATGGTTCATGCCGAGCATTTTGTTTCTCATATGGTTTATGGTGCCAGCATGCTTCACCCTTCATGGGCTTTAGATCCGTTTGCCTTGGCTTATCATTAGGCTGAATGCCTATTTCTCGATTCTCAACAGTTAAAATCGATTTTGCCCATGTGAGGGGTGGGTGGACCCTGATCATTCTGTTCAGTTATCCCACTCCCAATTTTCCCACATTTTTCTTACCCTATCAACTCTTCTGTTGTACCTATCTACCATCCATCTACTTTCCAAAGTGATCCACAGAGGTTTTTTGAGGAATAACTTCTACATGATTACCTCAGCGTTTGCATGTTTGTCTTTTTGGGTTCTATCCTTCCACACACAGTTTCTCTGTTGTTGGGATCTCCTAGGGAGGGATGCTGCTTTGTCCCAAGTTCATTTACTGCCTACTTATCTCTGCAACTTGTGTATGGCCCCTTTTTTATAGTGGTATGTTTTTGGTAATATTCCTGAGACTTTGGAAATGTGTGTGGAATAAATACAACAATAAATTACTCTTTTTTCTTTGGTGGATCATTTGTATCATTCAGAGCCTAGACATGCCACTATTACTGTTTCCCATCCAGTTTCTTCTCAGCCTTACTTGTGCCTACCTCTAGGGTTTCTCATTTATGTAGATGGACATGTCGCCAATAGTACTGGTGACTACCCAGTGGGTTCCAGTCAGGTGGGAGCTCACTTGATCGATTTTGTTCCCCTTTGGCAAATTTTTGCCACAAATCTGTGAATTATTTGTGTATTATCCAAGAGACTTGTCATCCATTTTCTTTCTCCTCTTCCATTGTCTCAGTTACACATTTAATTTCCATTGCCTTGGGATCCTTCTACCAGTCAATGTCTGTCTGAAGTGGTACAAGATGTTCTCTCCTAGCAGGCCATCGAACCTGTCAATCATCCTTCTCCAGGTTTTTATTCCAGGCTGTTTGTTGTACCCAAGAAAACATGGAGACTAGCAGCCTGTGATCGATTTGTTCCACTTCAATCAATTTTTGGCTCTACCCCAATTTACCATGGAGTCTTTTCTCACCCTTAGCTGGGCTTTCTCTCTGGTTTTGTGGATGACCAAGACAGATGTAGCAAATGCTTACCTGCATGTCCCGATATCTCGTCAGTTGAGACGATATCTTTGGTTCATTCATCACGGGGTAGTTTATGAATTTTGCACCATACCCTTGGGCTTGCTTCAACCCTATATCTCTTTTGTTGGGTAGTCAAGGCTTTTGCCCAATATTTGCATACTCAGGGGTTGTGCTTCCATCATTACATGGAGGACTGGTTTCTTTTAGCTTATTCCAAACAAGAGTCCACCCATCACACTCATCTGTTACTCCTGGAGACAGCTCGTGTAGGTTGGTTTATCAAATTGGAGAAGTCATTCCTTATACATACCCAATATCCTGTCCAGTTAGGTGTCTTTTTCAACACTCATCTCAGTGGGCTCAACCTTTTCTGCTTTAGCTTCATTCAATGGAGCTTTCAGTTTTCCATGTGCTTACTGCTTCCTTTCTTACAGCTCACGAGGTTCTATCACTTTTGGGGATGTGGTCTTCCATAGAAGCCCTTATCCCCTTGGGTTGAGTGTGTATGAGGTGTCTTCATTGGGCTCTGCAAAACCAATGGAATCTTGTGCCAAATCCATTGGGGGGCTCCTATTTCCGTTCCTCCTTCCATTGTAGGCAACCTGCATTGGTGGTTGGACAAGGCTCACACATCAGTGGATGTTCCATTTCTTCTCCCTCATCTGGATTTGCATATCTGCGCAGATGCTTCCCTTCAGGGCCGGGGGTGTGTGAGTCAATCAGCAGAAAGCTTCAGGTCGGTGGTCTCTGGCCGAAAGATCATATTATATCAACATCCTGGAACTTCTGGTGGTATGTTGTGCTTTGGATCATTTTCTTCATCTTGCCAGGAATCATCTAGTCATGATCCATTCCAATAATTCTAAAGTGGTGGCTTATATCAATCACCAAGGTGGCACCCATTTTTGTTCCCTTTGTGGTCAAACCTAGGATCTCCCTTTTTGGGCTCACATACTTGGTATTTGT